CGCTGAATGCGAAACGAACGTATGTTAACAAACTTTTTTTCTTTTCAACTTTTGAAAATATGTCGTTACGTTGCATTATAATATCAAAATAATGATTTATGATAAATTAATCCCGAAGTATTATCATTAACAAACTTTTTTTTTTCACACAGAAACTAATTAAAAACGAATATTAAAGAAAGTCGAAAATATATTCCAAATAATCTCTATAACATCAATTATATCGTTCTTCAATCCAAAAATAATAATAATAATGGCTTCGCAACCAAATTCTTATGCGGTTCCAGAAATAGTTACCGGATATCCAGTACAGCCGTCCTCCTCCTCCTCCGCTCTTCGTCGGTTGGTGTCACGACCGATAGTGACTTATCCGGCATCTAATGATCGTGAACCAACTAACGCGGAGGATTTGGCTCAAATTACACCCTGTTTCGGCGGCTTCTTCACCGTGATCGCCACTTACTTCATCTTCTTGCTCGTCGTTGACAAAACTCTCCCCCACGCTAAATTCTCTATCCAATCCATCAACGTTTCTCCAACCTCCTCCGTGGCCACGTGGCACGTCGACTTCCTCGTGAAAAACCCGTCCTCGAGATATTCTATATACTACGACGGCGATGATGCTTCCGTGAGGCTCGGTCCTCTAAACGCCGCCGTTTTAAACGTTTCTCATAGACTTGAGTCTAGAGATGTCACGGCTTTATCGTTGGCCTTTGTTGCGGAGGGTGGTAATCGAAGCGACTTCGTTTCGGGTGATCTTGACGTCAAACTCGGAGGAATGCATAATTAAGGGTTACGTAGGTTATGATAGAGCTGGATATTTTGTTATATGATGTCAAAATCTCACAAGAAGCCATGAGAACAATATTGACAAGATTATATGCCAATCCTCTTTTACATCTTTGGGGGAGTTTCAATAAAATTGTTTAGGCTTCGAGTTTTATTTATCTACCTTGTCTTTATTTTCTGTTATCAGTCTATCAAGTTTTGTTTTTGTTCTTTCCTACATTAAAAATATTTCACTTCTTTACAATCGTTTATACATATAGGGTCCGATTGGTGACTCCGTTTGAAACGAGCGGTTGAAAGTTTTTGGACGGTTGAATAGTGGGTCGTTTGCAACAAGGCGGTTAGAATCAGTGGTTAGAGAAGGCGGTTGAATAGTAAAGAACAAGTTCAATATAAGCTTGATTGGTAGCATTGTAGCGGTTGAATAGTAGAATTAGATAAAATTATGTAATAATTTTTTTTAAATTATTAAAAAAATAATTTAAAATTAATAATATAAATTATATGTAAATATAAATTATAATTATTCATTTTGAAAACATTAATCAACTACTATCTACGATCAGCCCATAGCATATCTGCAATTTGATTACGAATTGTTGCCATGTATGCTCAAAATTGAATAGATACTTAAAATATCTGAAACATAAATTAGCCTAAGAAATACTTAGATTTAAAATTTGATATTTTTATATAGTTTACACTTTTTGTTGTCAATATTGGATAAAAATCTAATTTAATTAGCTATAAAATTTATTTGGATAATTCGAGTTCAAAATATGGTAATCGAACTAAATGCAAAAAAATACCCAGTAATTATGAATATTTCGAATAATCTTTAAATAGAACGAGTATGAATCTTTTGGAT